AAAACACACATTGTGTAACATCCAATGCCTTTTCTTCCGTTCCTCCCTTGGTGTTTAAGTTATCTTCCCATTTGGACATTTTTGGGCTTTAATCACTTGAGCCTGAACTTATGATATTTAAGTTCGAGTTTTTATCGAATCGAGTTGTATGTTAAGTCCAACAACTTGATAAATGGGTTAGAACTAGATTTGTTCATGAGTCTTAACGAGTTGAACTCGAGTTCTAATAAATTTATATATTATGAAAATCAAAATATTACGTAATACTCCTATTTAACAAGCCAAGCAACTTGAGTCGTTAACTATACCAGATCAAGACGAACCTATTCGAATCAAGTCTTAAATAACCGAATCAAACCGAACTCGCGATAGGCTTGTCTATGTACAAGCCTATATTTACCTTTTTCTCTAAAAGATTTCACACGAGCAAAAAGAACCAAAATAAAAGTGAAATTTTGACTGATAAAAACCAAAAGAAAGAGGGGAACAAAGGAGTAGAGAAAGGAAATGATGTCACGTTGAGGGGTTCACGTGGGAAGTAATCTAAAAAAAAAAAGATATTAATAAAAATGTTTTCGAATAATAATACTCACTCCTATTTTTAATATATGTCGTTTTAAGAAGTTGCACATTAATTAATAATAATTTTTTTGTCAATAATAACCTTATTTAATGAAGATAGAGATGAGTGTTTTGAGCAAAAAAGTGAAGAGTGAATATGAAAAGACGTAATGTATTTATTAGCTAAATGAGGGTAATAATTGAAAAATATGTTCAAAAGATCTAAAACAACATTTATTTGACAAATAATTGATAAAGATAAAATGACATTTAAAAATGGACAATGCTATATGTACACCCCTTTTTAATAAATTACACAAAGAGCATGTACACCCCTTTTTTACACACAAGGGGGTGTACATATAGACACCCCCTTTAAAAATAATAGGAAAAAATAATAATAATAATATAATAAATGAGGAATGTACTTGGGTCGTGTGTTGTAATAATTGGTGGGTGATAAAAGGGCACCCAACTTTAGCAGACACATTCATTAATATGACATCCTTGTCCCCAGCCCAGCACAAACATTTTATTTAATTAAAAAAATCATGCAAAATCCTCTTTTTCTTCCCCACGCTAATTTTTGTTGCTCTTGATGTTTAATATATCTCCTACTACGTTTTTTTATTTTTTTTTATGTTCTAGTGTTGTTAGTTAGTTTGAGCTTGTTTAGTCGTTTAAGCTATAATCGTTATGACTCGTACATTTTTCAATTTCAACTTTTGGTTGTTTCTTTTCGGTCATTTGGCCGCTTGTGTTTTTTCTATGATATTATTAATAGATCTGCCGTTTCGACAAAAAAAAAAAAAAA